CCGCGCGCAGAGTGGCCGGGATGTGCCCAGCCCCGTGGCCCGCGCGGCTCCCGGCCCTCACCACGATGCTGGTGCCGCTCCTTGGTGCTGGCTCCGGGCCGCATGGTGGACCTGCAGTGTGGCAGCCCTCCGCCAGGCTGGGCGCGGGTCGGGTCGGGTCGGTGGAGAAAGGGGTCTTGCGAAGAGATGGACCCAATGGAGCCCCTAATCCTGGCTGCCGCTAGGTCCAATCCTGCTGTGGGCCCTGCAGGGAACTGGATGCTCCCTACAAACAAGGGGCTTCCGCTGCTTTGCCCTTAGCTGGGCTCTCTCGTGCAGGACAGGGATTGGAAAGTCCTCATCATATCATATGTCACTGCTCTGACCCCAGATGGTAGCAGCCCCTTGGAAAACACTTTCCATAAGGCTGGGGTGGCGAAATGGAGGTGTCACCCTGTCCTAGAGGTCCTGGGGATGAGAGGTGGGATCAGTGCAGGGCTGAGGTTTCCTCCCCAGAGCTCCCTAAGATGTGAGGGATGTCCTGGCTGGTTCTGGGAGAAGAGCCACTCCAGAGCACGTCCTCATGAGCCCAAGCCTGCACAGCCCAACAGCACCAGCGCCCGGCTCCTGCACAGGCTGACACCGTGCTTTGCTGTCACTGAGCTCGGGGCACTTCCTCACCTGCAAGACAGAGTAACTGAAGCGATAGGACCTGAGAGTAAATCAGGAAACATCACAGTTCCTGCTGCAGCATCCTGCGCGTTGGGTCAGGCTCAGGGTGGGGAGGACAGGGCTGTGCAGAGAGGCTGCAAGTTCCCCCCAGTGGCACTGCCTTGTTCCCCAAGCTGGGCACAGAGGTGACACCATCACGTTCATCCCCAGGTGAAGGCTGTACTGGCCTTTCTGCAGCAGGAGGCCTGGGTCAGGGTGAGGGGTGACACAGCTGAAGCAAAAACCCTTTTGCAAGGTATTTATTGGGATGTCATTGGCTGCAGCATGAGCTGCAAGGGGGGTGACACAAAGCTGCCAGGTGACATGACAAGGTGTCACTGCAGCTGGAGGAGCTGGGAGCCTCAGGGTTCATGCTAGGGCTGCGGCGCTGGCAGAGGTGTCTGACCCACATCTGGTCAGCCGTGGTCTCACATGGTCCTGTATCTGCAGCCAGCCAGAAGGGATCCGGGCTGAGCTCTGGGGACCTCCAGGCAAGGCCATCTGCACCTACGGCTTTGTTTCTGGAAATAGAAGAGGTGCTGAGAGGCTGGGGGAGATAGGAGGGCCTAATGGCAAGGCTGGAGACTCACCTCTGCCTCCGCAATACCCAAAGATAAATGATGGAGCTGTCCCTGGGCGCTCCGGTCCTCACCCAAGGGTGCCCCCCTCGCCAGCACAGATTAGCCCTCACCCAGAACAGACCACCAGAGCCCAGCACAGAGCAGCCCTCGCCCCAAGAAAGCCCAGCAGCCTGCTGAGAATCCCGAGTGCAGCACCCAGCGCCCTGCAGGGGCAGCCCAGCCCACGCGGGCACCGCCAGCCCCGGAGCTGGGCACCCGGCCCCACACAGGTCTGTATGGCCCAGCCTAAGCTCGGAGCATGCAGGGGCTCCAGGGTCTCTCCTGGGATCTGCCACTCACCATCGAGGATGTGGAACTCATCCGCGGAATTGCAAAACCCTGCAACAGAGAGAGGCCAAGACAGTCACCCTGCCTGGGCGCCTGGGACACCTCCACCGTTCACTCCATGGCCACCACTAGGACACAGTCCTGTCCTTCCCCCCACACGTCCCCACTGCCAGGGGATATGCAGGCACGAGCTGCTCATGTGGGAGGTGCCAGCACCACAGCCCCCCACGGCACATCCTCGGGCACAGCCCTCACCCTGGACACCCCAGCCCCCAGGGCACCATGTAGCACCTACCGTACGTGGGGAAGTAGTAGGTCACGTCTTCGTCCAAACCCACGGCCCTGACGCGCTGCTCGAATTTTTCTGCAACAGCATCACTGACCCGGCTGGCCCGTCCTGCAAGGGAAGGGAAGCACATGCCATCAGTGGCCTTGGGGGACAGACAGGACATCTGCCCCTGCCACAAAGCCCTCAGTTCTCCCAGCCCCCCGCAGCAGAGGCTCGGGGCCAAAGGGCTTTTGAGCTCAGAAAAGCCGGTGACAAAACCTTGCTGCTATCACAGCAGTTTCTGCTGATGCTCGGGGTGAAAAGCTGCAGCTTTCCGGGATGGAATGACCTCTCATTCAAACGTGACCCCGGGCAGCAAGTGAGCAAAGGCTGATACGCCACAAACCAGCGAGCAGAAACGTCTCGATTGCCCCAGCAGGATTTGCTTTTGGGTGACTGCAAAGTTTGCTCTGGGGCAATTCTTTCCATTCCCCTAGAGCATCTGGGGACAAGACTCATCTGGTGACAAGGCCATGCTGAACGCTTCCACGGACTCCCTTGCATCCAGGTCCTCTGTGGGTCTGCAGGGCTCAGAACCCCGAGTCCAGCACTGGGCAACCATTTCCAAGCAGCCAGTGTCACTCCTTCGAGTCCCCTGGGTCCAGTTCAGTTGTGACCCAACTCACCTGTGCTGGACATGACCCCACAGCTCACGCGTGCCATGATGCCACGTGCTCACCCATTCTGGCCGGAGAACCGAGGGCATCAAGATGCCAAAGGGAAGGGGCATAGCCTGACACTCTGGGCAGCAGGATGGGTCCCTCACCCCTGCCTTGCTCAACAGCAAACCCGACTCGGAGCAGCTTTGCTGTGACGGGACCCGCACACCCACCAGCACCCGTGCACCTCAGCTCTCAAAGCCGCCCCTCAGCACTGACCCACCGTAGAGCTTCACCGAGATGCTCCGGCCCTTCTGGTAATAGAGGATGGCAAAAGTGTTGTAGTCCGTCTCCCCCACCACCACGTCCACCTTGCTGCTGTAGCCACGGCCTGGGAGGGACATCCACAGCACAGGGAAATGCCATTTAGCTCCCAGGCATGGCCAGCACCCCCTCCTTGGGCACGTAGTGGGACTGGCACCATCCGGGGGCCTCGGCTTTATGGCGAGGGGCTTACGAAGTGACGAGCACCAGGGCCAGAGCTGGGGCACCCTCCTGCACCCCCCGGGGATGGCCTTTCCCACCAGCGGGTACCAGCCCTGCACTGGCTGCTGCTGCACTCGATGGCACTCAGCCCTCAGCGCGTTCGAGGCCAGGACTGGGACATTGGAAGAGCATCGGGGGAAGAGGACGCCCGAACACGCGTGACCTCCCGGCCAGGAGCAGGGCTTGGAGGCTCCGGCTCTACAGCCCCCGCGCCGCACCAGGCCTGCCCGGCAGCCCTCACCCTTTAAGAGAAATCGTCCGTGGGTCTTGGCGGGCAGGTAGCGTTGCCTGACTTCCCAGCACATCCCATCCCTGTGCGAGCAGAAACGGACTTTGTGCGAGCCAGGAGGGCCCTCCAGGAGGCCGCATCGCCGCCCTCCCGAGTGGCCATGGCGTGAGCAGGACGCGCTTGCTTTCTCCAAGGGGGAGAGGCTGCAGCGGGGAACCGAGAGCCCTGCGGCGCTGGGAGAGACCCAGGGCCCGAAACCCGGG